AATTGTTATACATTGTCTTGCCTTGTTTTGCTGGCTAGCTTACCACATTCAATATTAAGTGGAAAAGATCCCACTAGGGCATCACTGCCTCCTTGCTGACCTCAGGGATAAAGACCATTATGTATGAAGTTAACTATAAGATTTTAAAGATACCCTGTCTTAAATATAGTGAGTTCCCTTCTATTCTCTGTTTACTAGAAGATTATTATCTATCCTCTGAGATAATCACTTTTTCTTTTATTCCTGAAATGAATTCCCACTAGTCAGGTACAATGTGTGTGTTTGTGTGTGTGTGTGTGCATCATTACACTCAATTTGTTAATCTTTTACTGAGGATTTTGTGTTCATGAGAAATACGGACATATATAAATCCATTTTTGAGATATTCTCATCAGATGTTTTTATCAAGATTATTTTATTCTTAAAAAATGAGTTAGGCCTTATTACCTTTTTTCTATATTCTAGAAAATGACATATAAAATTACTATAGTTTCTTAATTTACAAAAAAATCACCACTAGAACCATTTGGCGTGGACTTTTCTTTGATGAGAAGTTTTGAAATTATAGATATGATTTCTTAATATGTATAAAGCTATTCACATTTTATGTCTATTAGTGTTGGTTTTTGTAAATGCTATTTTTCAAGGAACTTGTCCATTTTACCTATGTTGTTAAATTTATTAGTATAATGTTTGTGATATCATCTTATTATTTTAGTGGCATATTACATAAGATCTATAGTGATGTTCTATCTTTACTGTTATTGTTGAATTTTTTTCTTTACTAGTGTTAGTAGGGGCTTACCCATTTAATTAACTTATCTATACAAAGAACTTACATTTGGTTGCAAGATGATTGGCTACAGAATCTATGCTAATGATGATGATGTTTTGGGTCTTCTGATGTCAGCAGCACTGTTAGTACAGATTCTGCATCCAATCATTTTGTAATGATCTTGGCTTTCATTTCATTTCATTTTCACATAGTTCAAATTACTCTCTACTTTCCTTTTTGATTGCTTCTTCCAGGATATGTTACTCCTTCTTAATTTTTATCTTGGTAGTTTTGAATGTTTCCACTTGGCTTTTCCTATTCTTATAGCTTTTACTCCATAGGTTGGGGGAACAGTGTGAGGGTCTGTCAATTTTTAAGTATCTCGTCACAATGTGTCACCAAAGAACTAGCAAAACGACCACAAGTTAGGACAATGAGTCCATTGGACTTATTGTAAGATGGATTTTTTTAAGGACTTAGGGTATCATCTGAATTCTCTATACCCCTACTCTACCCGTGATGGTGTTTTGGGTCCTTTTATGCGAGCACCAAGAGCAAAGATTCTATACTAAATCATTCTACAATGATCCGGGTATTCCCCTTTCTCCAGCGTACAGTTTTTCTAGTTAATAGCTGTAGGTCACTTTGTGGGGGAATGATTGAGGGAATTGCTACTTTATATTCTTACTGGGGCATTGTGAGGTCTCGTCCTCTGCTTGAACAATGAGCTCTGGCTCTGAGACTGTCTTGGATCAGGAAATTTAGCAAGGTATTGTGAATTTCCACTTGTCGTTATTGACACTGGTCCTCTGCTCATCTCTTCTTAATTTTTAGTTATATGCATCAAGCAATATCATCATCGACTACCCAGATCTCTCTTAACCATTCCGCATAAACCCACGCAGGCAAAATCACTGGTTGTCATCTATGCATCTCTTCTGAATTACATCCACCTTGACTGTTATGATTAAGTGCTGCCACTTGGCCTCTGACATTTTGGAATTCAATTATCCCTAGTGACACCAGGATGCCCAACTCCATAATGGCACTTTCAACCATAAACTCTAGCCTATGGAAGAAAGCTTCCACTGAGATTTTAAATAATGTTAAGACCTCCTCATTGCTTTAGCATGAGGGCATTTCCTCATTGCTTTAGCAAAAGGAGTGTTCTCTGGGCCACCCAAATAATTGGATGCTGGATTTTTTATTCTTATTTTCTATTATAATATGACCACCACTCTGAACTTTTGACTCCTTTCATATTACTTTGTTAAAGTAGTTCTGGCATATCTACCTCATTTATCATAGGCCAGATTGTTTCCAATCTTCAGTGATCCACCCAGCAGCAAATCAAGACTGGCCTAGGGTTTCTTTGCCAAGGTATTAAATCTTCATTCACCAGAGAGCTTCCCCTATCAACAAATACACTATCAAGGCCTACACTTTAATATCTTGGAGTCAACATCTTTAACATCCACCCCTGGAATGTTCTCCATGGTCTTGTCCATACATATTAGCAAATTCTACAAATTTTAAAAAATAATCTCTTTAGTCCAACAGCAGAGAGTACTTCCTCACTTGGGCTAGAACCAATGAGAGAAGGCAGGGACAGATCTGGAGAAGATGAAGCATCATCTTGTGAGATATCCATCTCATGTAATGTCTCTGCACGGTCCAGGCAATGTGAGGCTGTTCTCATCCATCCTGGGGATAGCAGTCACTTCATAGCTAAGGGGGTTCTAAGGAATATGAAGGTTTAAGTCTCTAAAGTGCATCTATTCAAATGTCTCAAACCCAGAAATGTGTACATTTTACCATCTGGCCAGGAAGAAATCCGCTTGCAGAATCTTATCCTGAGGGTCTGCTTCCTATGGTAACTTTTGGTACCAGCTGATGTGGTTTCAGTTACCCCAGAAACAGACTGAACCGTGAATGCATATGAGTAATTTATTTGGAAGATGTATTAGTTCCCTATTGATGCTGTCACAAATTACCATAAACTCAGCAACTTAAAATAACACAAATCAGTTATTTCATAGTTTCTATGGGTCAGAAGTTCAGATAGGTAAACTAGACTTGGTCATCTGCTTACAGTCTCACAAGGATAAAATCAAGGTGTCAGTAGAGCCATGTTCCTTATTGGAGGCTCCTGGAAAGAATCCACCTCAAGGCTCATTCAGGTTGTTGGTCCTGTTGTTACAAGACTGAGGTTCCTGTTTCCTCCGCAGCTGTCAGACAAGGGCTTGTCTTTTCTCCTAGAAATTATCAGCATTCCTTCTTGTGCTTCCATGTGTCTTCCTCCAGCAACAACAGGTTGAGTCCCTCTCACCCTCCAAGTCTTTGTGATTGTCCTTCTGCCACATCTTTCTGACTTCACCTGAAGAACGTTCTCTGTTTTTAAGGGCTCATGTGACTAGACTGGGTCTACTCAGATAACCCAGGATAATGTCCCTATCTCAAGATACATAATCTTATTTACTTCTTCAAAGTAACTTCTGCCATGTAATATAACATATCCACAAGTTCCAGGGATTCCAGAGTGAGGAAATCTTTAGAAGTTCCATTCTGCCTATCACCAAAGCACTGGTGTGGGAATGTGGATGTTGGGGAAGAGAAGCAAGCCAATGCGTGTGGGTTTGTGAGCAAGTTACTGGTCTTGTAAGGTAAAGCTATTTCCCACAAGTACCTCTGGGAAATGATATAGAATAGGGGACAGCAAAAATTTTCTGTAAAGGATGAAATAGCAAATATTTTCAGCTTTGCTGAAATGGTGCACCATATGGTCTTTGTTGCAACAGTTCAATTCTGCCTTGGTAGCACAAAAGCAGTTATAGACAATATGCAAACATATGGGCATGGCTGCATTCCAGTAAAGTTCCATTTACAAAAATACATGGCAGCTGAATTTGGCACAAACTGACCACAGTTTGTATAACTCTGATGTAAAGCATGCTTCATAGAATTTCCTCATAAGGAGCAAGGAATCTGGGGCATCTATCCACCAACTACCCATCATAATTATCTGAGGTCTGATCATTAGTCCTGTGCACATTTAACCCACCCTACTAATGGCTGAGCATGCTACTGAGGCCAGAAGAACTCCAATAGAAAGTCTCAGATACTTGAAGCAAAAATACTCTACAGGAACAATCAATGCCCAGGAGATACTGGTAGGGCACTGAAAATATCTCATATAAGTGTCAATTTTCCTAGAGCCTGCAGGTATGGAAGCTCACAATGTACAGACCTAGCCCAAGATTATATTGTTTTATTCTAATCTTCATTAAAAGTAACCAGAGTTTTTGGTAGGTAATTGGCACCATATTTAGGGGTAGATGAATGCAAGAAAACATAGTACCACTTATCAGAAAACTAAGATGATACTGGAAAATCTGAGATAATTGGAAAATCTGCATACATATACAAACGCACAGATATATATATGTGTGTGTATGTATATAGACATATATGTGTATATATATAAAATTTGGGGTAATGGCACATAATTAAGAGAACTTGTAGGGATTTAATGTTATGTAAACAAGTGGTAGTCAGCTTTCGTAGGTGGATAAGAAATTCATGTAACTGCTGGGGGAGTAATCACGAAGAAACTCTATTTTATTTAAATGGACGGAAGTTGTTAAATATTATGCAATGGTGATGTAATAATAGAAGAAATATGTGATCCCAGCTGTTGAGACGAGTATATGTTGAATATTTGGTCGATGGAACTACAGTAGACTACATACCTATATTTAGAAATGAGCAACAGAACAAATTTTAATCATCCTGAAACTTGGAAATGTAGAAATGTTTGAGAATGATTAAGAAAAACCCATTATAATGTTTCAATATTCTTGAAACCATAAGAGGTAGGGAAAAATTTGGTCCAAATTGAGAATTTTGTAGAGAAAACAGAGACTGAGTTCATATGAGTCAGGAAATAAGTTGTGGATTAAAAGAAATTCATTTAGTTTATTGTATATTCAAAATCTCTCCCCAGGAATAACTGGGAACTGTTTGTGCCAACCAAGCTTTCATGACTCATTTGTCTTTTCAATTGAAGAGGTGTGGGAAAGTGATTCATACATCTTAACTTATCCTCATTTTAATATCTCATTTCTATATTGAAGACAGAGTTGCATACAGTATTCCATGTATACCAAGACAACCTCTTATTAGAAACACAAGAAGTTATGCTCAAATATCAATCTTCATTACTCACCTCTTCGCTGCCACAGTCACATTCTTCATTAGGTTCCAAAATCCCATTACCACACACTGATTGATTTTGGTATAATGGTTGCAAATTTGAAAAGTTATGAAGACATTTAGCCTCAGATTTTGAAACAAAATATCTATAGTCATGCATGCTACAGTTGCTAAAAATCTTTATACCACTGGAACCCCTAAAATGAAATAATATTCCTCAGATAAATAAACTTGGCTAACAAAGCCACATCTAAATAATGATCCATATTTAACAATACGAATTGCAAGATGGCTCAAATAAAAAACTTGTAACTTAGCAGAGATGAAGTCAACCATGATTAAATGTCAATTTACCATTGCTTATCTTTAACATTCTTTTTTTAAAAATTGGCACTGAAAATGTATCTTTTCAGGACAGCAATAAGGTGAAATGGTTAAATCTATCTATTTATCTATCATCATCTTTCTCTCTACCTAACATCTTCTTCTCTCACATATCCAAAGCGTCTTTCTCACATTTCAGTCAGATGTCTGTTCAAATGTCACTTTCTAAAGACATCTCTCTTGACAACATTATCTGGAATTGTGTCCCCTCGTACCTTCTCCTTCTGCTTTCAATATTTATTATTTTATATAGCATTTTTGCATAATGTAAAAATAAGCTTCTTTATTTGTATTTTTAAGTTTATTTTTATTTGACCTAAAGTTTGTAATAAAATTTCAGTTCCATGAAGGTCTTCATTTTCATGTTCACAGCTATATTTCCAGTGGAATGTCTAATAGATGTCCAATAGACATTTCAAATATACTATGTACAATATTGAACCGATCTTCCCAACCAAACCTGCTCCATCCACTGTTCTCAGTTTCTGGCAACTCTGTTCTTCTGGTTGCTCAAGTTGATAACACTGGTGTGATCCTAGACTATTTTCTCTCTCACAGCCTATACCGATACACACACACACACGAATATAACATATCCAATTAAAATTTTATATTTATTCTATGTTGAAATGATAATATTTTGGATATATGAGGTTAAATAAAATTATTATTAAAATACATTACTTTGGGGCTGGCCCCGTGGCACAGTGGTTAAATTCAGTGCACTCTACTTTGGCAGCCCGGGTTCATAGGTTTGGATCCCAGGCACAGACCTACACCACTCACCAGCCATGCTGTGGCAGCAACCCACATATAAAATGGAAGAAGACTGGCACAGATGTTAGCTCAGGGCTAATCTTCCTCAGGAAAAAAAATATATATATACATACTTATATATATAATTGCAATTAATTTCATCTGATTCTTTTAATTTTTTAATGCAACTACTAGAAAATTTAAAACTACATATGTGGCTCTCACTTTTTTCTATTGCACAGTGCCACTCTAAGCAATCATGTCTGAACTACTAATACCTAAAAAGCTCTATCTGAGATGACAGAGGTGGGTTGTCTCCTGAGCCTCCAAGAAAAAAAATGCATGACTGCTAAGGTTTTGGAGTTGGAAGAGTGTGAGAAACAAGAGAAATGCTTTAGCTTTTACTGACATAGTCATTTGTAATGGGATAAATAGGGGAAAGTGGGAGGAATATCACAACGAATAATCTTTTTTAAGGAAATTTCTCTATTACTTTTAACTACTTTGTTTTAAAAGGCGTCAGTGCTCCTCTGCTTTTGCATGCCACTCTCATACAAAAACCTAAAAACTTTGAGCAACAATATCTTTTCACACAAAATTAGACAGGGACTCATGTTATTTTCTACTTGGACCACATGATTTTTTAGTGAAGATTAAAATAATTAATTAGAACTTGGAAATTTTGTATAAGCTGGGTACAAAGCAATTTTTCTTTAAGTCCCTGCTTTAAAGACATCCATGGCAAGGAAGAAATGAATATGTTAGCTGTATATGGTATACACAGTGTGGGATAAGACAAAACTGAAATAATTATTTTCAGAGAACACAGCTTCCCTTGCAGCCCTAACTCTTTCTGAGACCCACGGACGTTGACTTGGGAAAATCTCAACTGTCCACTTTCTTTGAAGATGCATGTCAGTAGCTGTAATTAAATGGACCAAAATAAGCATGTTGTTTGAATTCATACGAAATTTATAATTACACATTCTAAGTATGTTTTCAAAAAAGCCCAATAATCCTATAACATTTCCTAAGTCACTTCTAATTTCCAGTCTCCAAGACAAGTGTTTCACATCTCTATCAAAGCTCTTATACCCCTTGCTCTCAGCTTCCCATCAGAAGAAACTGTCCTCATCTTTAACCTATAGTAACCAAACTAACAACCACACTACTACTATTTACTCTCCTAACATCCTATCACAATAATTGGAAATACTTAGCTCTAATAAGAGCCAGCCCCTCTATTTATGCACTACATCCTAACCTCTCTAATTTATTCAATGATTTTTCTGTTGTCTTCATTATATAGAACATCTTTTCACCCTCTTCTCTCTATTTCTATCAGTCTATAGATAATACGTAGTGTCTCCCATCAATAAAGTCCTTCCTTTGATCATAAATTCCTCAAAAAAATTCCACACTCCTCAAAATGTTGTGTTTATTTACCATCTCCATTTTCTCATGTCCTGTAGAGTTTATTAAGTTCCTTAAGAAATAATCTGAAATATCGATTGAGATTGTACTAAATTTATAAACCCTCTGGAAAAATTAACAATTTTATAAGACGTCATCTATTTTCTTAATGCTGGTATACACATAGCAATGTTTTCTAGATTGATCATCATAATGAATTTCTTTATGCTATTGTTCTTCTAATTTGTACTGATTCCGTTGATTTACATAAGTAGTCAATAATAATACCTGCAAGTAAAGATATTTTTTTCCTCTTCAAATCCTTCTTCCTTTTGCTTTCCCTCAAAATACTAGCCAAGGTCACCAGTACTGTGTTATATTATTAAGGGTGAATTTAGACATCTTTGCCTTGAGCAACAAATATTATAACAACTAAAACAACAATAGTATCATATGTTTATACAATGTACATAGTCTCATAAATCTTAAAATTTTCCTTCTATTTTTCTGAGTATTTCTTAATCATGGGATTTGTCATTTTCTGGAGTCTTGCATCACTTAGACAAATTTGTTAGTGTGGTATCTATTCATGAACAAAATACCAGTCCAATTTTTGATGTGGAGTTGAACATAAAGAATAAAGAATTCATCACATCTTATAGACAACCTCACAAATATATATATGAAATTAATTTAGAAGAAAAAAATGCCTTACACTGCTTCACGATTCATGATGCATGTAGCTCTTAGACAAGAACACTTATTGTTGTCATTGTATGTTAATCCTATTTTAAGGCCAAGTAGTTGAGCTATAATAACTGAAAAACCCTCCAAAGTTATTGCATCTGGATACTAAAATAAACAATATTGAAGAGAAAACCATTATATAAGAAGAAAACAAAAGCAAGTAATAAAATAAAACATTTTTATTCCTATGAAATTTTATATTTTAATGCTTTTGCGTTAAGCATATTTTGCAATACTTTATTTTGATGTGTCATTGACATGAATATCCATACTAGTTAGTCGATTAAGATGCATGAAAAATGAAAAAAACAATCAAACTACCAATATTCTCTGGTTTAAAATTTGGCATGCCCCAATTCTATAGCCTTAAACACACTTAGTATTTCTGAAATCAATATAAATACATTTATTTAACTTTCTCATTAAATCAATTCATCCAATTAACAAATATTAATTCATTATATGCTTGTGTCAGGCACTATGAGAGAAGATGGGAATATAGTGGCATGCATGAAAGAAATGGACTTTGCCCATACCTGGAACATATATAACAGAAGGAGAGAAAGAAAATAAACAGGAAATTTACAGTGAACTTACCAACTATAAAGAGATCATGACAAATGCTCTGAATAATATGAAGTACAACAACAGAGAACTTTGAGGAAAGGTGTAACTATTTAGATAAGGTAGTTAGAAAAACTTACTTGTAGAATTGATATTCAGGCTGAGATACAAAGTTTGGGAAATGACCCAGCCATATGAATTAAGGGTAAGTGCTTGTATGGGAACCTGTTCAGAGGTTATAGTATAACAAGTGAAGTGAAGAAATGACAAAAGTTAGAGATATAGAAAAAGCCATGATAAAGTAATTTGGGGGGCCGGCCCTGTGGCCAAGTGGTTAAGTTCGTGCACTTTGCTTTGGCGGCCCATGGTTTTCTGCTTTGGATGCTGGGCGTGGACATGGCACCACTCATCAGGCTATGTTGAGGCGGTATCCCACGTGCCAAGACTAGAAGGACGCACAACTAAAATATACAACTATGTACTGGGGGGATTTGGGGAGAAAAAGCAGAAAAAAAAAAGATTGGCAACAGCTCTTAGCTCAGGTGCCAATCTTAAAAAAAATAAAAATAAATAAATTTGGAATGATAAGTTATTTAAAAAAAGGTTGGTGGCAGTGCAGAATGGCATTTCATATTATTTAACTTTGGTGAATAAATTGTGATACTTTCCTTATCCCTTTAATCATTATAAGCAGAATTCTGAGAACGTCTCTATTTTTTACATCAATCGAAATTTAGAGTGAGAAAAATTTAAGCAATTCATAGCTAAAAGAAAAAAGATTGTGTGTATGTGTATGCATGTGTATGAATGAAAATGGAATATGGAAAAATGAGTTAATAGATATCGTCTCCTGTTATCCTCTAAGAGCTAAGCTTGCAAGACAGGGAAAATCCAAGTATCAGAACTTGAAAGGAGGTTAAAGCCAGAGCAGAACATGAGAGATGATATCTGGCTGTCGAAAATGTAGGGACAAGAAGCTGGACTTTTAATACCAGCTAAGAGAAAGGAGACATAGTCTTGGACTTCTCCAATTATATAGTTGAAAATAAATCCCCTGTATAAAGTCATGCAACAGAATAAAACAACTCCCTAGTTATACTGTGCAGGAAAAGAAGTCATATTATACAAAATATTAACAACAGGAATAAAAAAGAAGACATCACTACAGATCCTGCCTATTAAAAAGACCTATAATGTGCAAAAAGATAAAGCTGAACCCCTCTCTTACACCACTTACAAAAATTAATTTGAAACGGATCAAAGACTTAAACATAAGACCTGAAACTGTAAAATTTTTAGAAGAAAGCATAAGTGAAAAGCCTCTTGACATTGGCCATGGCAATGATTTTTTGGATTTCACACAAAAAGAAAAGGCAACAAAACCAAAAATAAGCGAGAGACTACATCAAACTAAACTGTTTCTGCACATGAAACAATTAACAAAATGAAAGGCAAGCTATGGAATGGGAGAAGATATTTGCAAACCATATATCTGATAAGTGGTTATATCAAAAATATGTAAGGAATACTGAACTCACTAGCAAAAAAAAAAAACCAAACCCAAATAACTCAATTAAAACATAGACAAAGGACCTGAATACACATTTTTCCAAAGAATATATACAAATGGCCAAAAGGTATATGAAAATATGCTCAACACTGCTTATCACCATGAAATGCAAATTAAAAGCACAATGAGCTATCACCTCACAATAGGTAGGATGGCTATTATCAAAAAGACAAAGAGATAACAAATGTTGGTGAGGACGTGGAGAAAAGGGAATCCTGGTATACTGTTGGTGGGAATGTAAACTGGTACAGCCATTATGGAAAATAATATGGAGGTTCCTCAAAAATTAAAAATAGAACTACCAGGGCTGTCCCCATGGCAGAGTGGTTAAGTTAGCATGCTCTCCTTCAGCGGCCCGGGGTTCACCAGTTCAGATCCTGGTTGCAGATCTACACACCACTCATCAAGCCATGCTGTGGTGGCATCCCACATTAAAGAACTAGAATGACTTACAACTAGGATATACAACTATATACTCGGGCTTTGGGAGGGAATAAGAGGATGATTGGTAAAAGAGCAAAAGATGTTAGCTCAGGGCCAATCTTCCTCATTAGAAAAAAAGCAAAAAAAATTAGAGCTACCATATATACCCAGCAATCCGACTTCTGGGTATATATCCAAAGGAAATAAAATCAAACAAACAAAAACAGAATGTCTCATCAAAGAAATAGATAATAGAAATAAGAAGCAAATGAAAATTTTAGAACAGAAAAATACAATAATCTAAAAAATAAAACCCCACTAGATGGACTTAGTAACAAAATGGAGACGTCAGAGGAGAGAATCAGTGAACTTAAAGATTGACTAATATAAATTATCCAATATGAACAACAGAGGGAAAATAATTTTAAAAAATTAACAGAGATACAGGAAGCAGTGAGACAATAACAAAAAAATCTAAAATTAATGTCATTAGTGTCCCAGAAGAGAAAAAAGAGAGTAGAGCTGAAAAATATTTGAAGGAAAACAGCTGAAAAGTTCCCAAATTCTGCAAAAGACATAAATCTACATATTTAACAGGCTCACAAAACTTCTAACAGAACAAACTCTAAGTAATTCATGGCCAGACATATCATAATTAAATATAGCTGGAGAAAAAATTTAAATGTCTTGAAATCAGCCAAAGAAAAACAACACACTGCTTATAGGGGAAGAACGGTTCATATGACAAGAGAATTTCTCAACAGAAATAATGGCATACAGAGGATGTAGCACAATATTTTTCACGTGCTGAAATAAAAGAAGTGTTAACCCACAGCTTTCATCCAGCAAAAATATCCTTCAAGAATGAAGAAGAAAAGACATTCTAAAGTGAAGGAAAATTAAGAGACTATGTTGCCAGTCACCCCGCTTTAAAAGAATGACTAAAGAAAGTTCTTCAGACAGAAAGGAACAGATAATAAAAGAAAACTTGTAGCATCAGGAATGAAAAAAAAGGAACAGAAAGGGCACATATACGGAAAATAGACTATTCTTCTCCACTTGAGTATTTTAATAATTATGTTTCATATTTGAAAACAAAAAGTATAATTTTGAGTGACACAGTTCTAAATGTATTTAGAAGTAATATTTAAGTAAACTGAACCATAAAATTCCCTATTTTATAATTATATGATATGATTTGGGACCTAAAAGATGGTGTTAACATTTCTACATTCTACTTGAAGTGGTAAATTGTTTATAAACACACCTGTTTGTGTGTGTAGTTGTGTGTATGTGTGTGTTTAATCTCACTACAGAAAACACTAAAAATGTTTACCAAAGAGAAACACTGAAAAACACTAAAAATTAGAGGTTGACAGTTTCTATAAAAAGGAAATATTTTAGGCTTTGTGGACCATGTAGTCTCTGTCATGAATATAAATTCTGATGTGGCAGGAAAGAAGTCACAGACATTAGGTAAATGAATGGATGTAGCTCTGTTCCTATAGAACTTTATTTACAATATAGGTGGTAGGCCAGATTTAGCTTATAGGTCATGTTTGCTGATGTCCGCTATGGATAAATCAAAATGGAATACCAAAAGAATGTTCCAGTAACTCAGAAGAAAGCTGGAAATTGCAACACAGGACAAAAAAACCAGAAAGATAAAACAGAAAACAAATACCAAAGTGACAGTCTCAAATACCAACATATCAACAATTACGTTGAATGCAAGCTGTCTAAACATACCAATTAAAAGCCACAGATTGATAAAATGCAGAGGAAAAATATATGACCCAACTATATGCCGATTACGACAGTCTCACATAAAATATAAAGATAAAAATAAGTTAAGAAAAAAGATATAACATGCAAACATTTATCACAAGAGAGCTGTGGAAGGCTATATTCACAACAGATGAAGTAAACTTCAAATAAAAAATTATCATGGGCAAAGGATATAATAATAATAACAAAAAGATTCAATGTACCACAAGACATAACAATCTCAAATGTTTAGACACCAAACAATTGAGCTGTGAAAAATATGAAGCAAAACCTGACACAATTGAAAGAATAAATACACAAATACAAAATTTACTTGAATTAATCGAAAGAAACACTAGACAAAAAATAAGAAATTGTTTACAAGACATGATCAACAACCATAAAACAATGTCTATAAACTGGCATTTATAAAACACTCAACTACAACATAATATACATTTTTTCATGTTCACATTGAGTATTCACCAAGAGAGACCATATCCCATTCAACAAAACAAAACTTAACAACTGTAAAAGAATTGAACATACATTCTCTGATCATAGAAGAATCAAGCTATCGTAAATAATATAAAGATGACAGGAAAATCTCCAAATACATGGGACATAGATATTAAACAAGGTTTTGAAACAATTTATGGTCAAAAATAAAGTTCTTTCTATTTATCTATACCTATTATCTATCTGTCCATCTATCTATCTATCTATAGTATCAACTCTTACATTCCCATTCAACATAGTGTTGGAAGTACTAGTCAATGCA